TTATAACGCCGAATAAAGACATTTATACTCACCTCCTGACCTGCAAAACTAAGGTAGCCCCCCTAAAGACAATTTCCTTACCACGGTTGGAACTTTGCGGAGCCGTTTTGGCCTCCAAATTATTAAAAAATATTATAGATGAAATAGACATTTCATTCCAAAAAATTTACTGTTGGACTGATTCTACGATCGTCCTCTCCTGGCTCAACAAAAGTCCATCTACGTGGACGACATTTGTTGCCAACCGTGTAAGCAAAATTGAGGAGATAACAGACGTAGGTAATTGACATCACGTGCGCTCTGAAGATAATCCCGGTGATTTAGGCAGCCGGGGGGTTTCGCCTTCCAAGCTTGCCTCCTCTAATCTTTGGTGGTATGGACCACATTGGCTACGCCAAAATAGTTCTCATTGGAATTTATCCAATTTTCCTCTGCTTGACACCGAAATTGAAATGCGTGCTGTCAAGACTCATGCCTCTTTCTTTAATAATTATTGTGACCCCTTAGAAGATTTCTCTTCGTTAGATAGGGCTCTTCGAGTCCTCTCCTATGTTTTTAGATTTTTCCACCGGACTCATCCTGCTCATAGAGGTCGATACATTTACAATGAGAAGGCCCTTATCAGTTCAGAGATAAAAGCGGTTAGATTACGTCTGGCTATTTTATCTCAAAAAGTCCACTTTGCAGATGAGTACCAGTCTTTGTCAGATAAGGTTCCCTTAAATGCAAAGAGTTCTCTTTTACCCTTAAATCCATTTCTGGATGAATTCGGGGTAATTAGGCTTAATGGACGCTTGTCGCAATCACCTACTATGTCTTACACAGAAAGGCATCCCATTATTCTGCCTCGTCAAAAACGTTTCACGCACTTACTACTTCAATTTATACATGTTCTTTCCATCCACGGTGGAAATCAACTGATGTTACGCATCATTAGAATTGAATATTGGGTCCCACGACTCACATCACTAATTAAAACCACCATTACTAAATGTAAAACATGTTTCTTGGACAAAAAACGGTCTTGCTCTCAGATAATGGCTGCTCTTCCTCCGGAGAGAACAGTATTATCTCGACCATTCACCACTACTGGTGTTGATTTTGCAGGTCCCTTCGATCTTAAATCTTTTACAGGCCGCTTTTCTAAAATCACTAAAGGTTACGTCTGTGTTTTTGTTTGCTTTTCTACGAAAGCAATACATCTTGAGGCTACTTCTGATTTGTCTACGGCAACATTTTTAGCAGCCTTTCACCGCTTTATCTCCAGACGTGGTTTTCCAAAAAAAAAAATTTCTCTGATAACGGCACCAACTTCGTTGGAGCTTCTAGGGAAATCGAAAATAATTTTAAAACAGTTCTCCGTGAAAGTCGTACTAACTTGTGTTCCACATTGCAGTATCAAGAACTTTCATGGCAATTTATTCCCGCTGGCGCCCCCCATATGGGTGGTCTATGGGAGGCCGCCGTAAAAAGTTTTAAGTTGCATTTTCGTAAGCAAGCTAAGAACTTCAAATTTACGTTTGAAGAACTTTCTACGATTCTTTCCAGAATCGAAGCTTGTTTAAATTCACGTCCTTTATGTTCCATAAATGACTATCCCCAGGATATAGTAGCACTGACACCAGGTCATTTTCTCATTGGAACCCCAATCCTTGCTCCTCCGGAGCCAGTAATTGACGAAACGCCTTAGCATCTGGTAAATCGGTTTCGGCAACTTAAAGCTCTCACTCAGCAACTCTGCCTACGGTGGAAGGATGAGTATTTGCACAAAAGGTACAAATGGAAGTTTCCGCAACGCGACCTCCAAAAAGGCGACTTAGTCGTGGTTCGGCATGAAAATCTTCCTCCTACTTCGTGGAAATTAGGTCGAGTTATAGCGGTGCACCCGGGTTCTGATGGTCGAGTACGAGTCGCAGATATCCATACGGAAAATGGCACTATACGACGGCCAATTGTAAAATTAATTGCGCTACCTTAATTGTCGTAGTCCACGTTTTCGATTCGTATTTGTACCTCTTTATTTTTTCGCGAAAGAAAAAAATTATAATTGATGGCTGCGAACGCGTCGCGAATTCTCGGGCCATGACAATTTAAAACGACCTACGGTTTTTGATGGTCATCCTGGCCAATAATTCCAATAACTCTCTCCTCATCGTTGTATTATTGCATCCTCTCTATTTTCACAGAAGATGGAAAATTTAGGAAAGATGGCTGCAACTCTACCCGACTATGATGACGACGTCCCCATGTCTGATGAGGAAAGGGAGCTAGACGCCATTACTACCCCCATCTCCGATGAGCCAATGGTATCTGGGCCCCCTGAAGCTGCTCCTCCCTCGGAGGAAAATCCAATATTAAAAAAACCGTCTACGACGGTCCCTGAAGCTCCTTCAGGCGAACCAGTGGTCTCGCCACAACTTTCGGCATCCTGTCGGAAGAACCAGGGTTCGAAAAAGGTTTGCGCAATATGCAACGGCACACATCTTCTCAGGGACTGCAAAGAATTTCGAGTGATGCGGGTTGAGAGAAGGTTGAGGGTGGTCGCATTTCACAAATGCTGTGGCAATTGTCTGTCCACTACTCACCCAATTCGTGACTGTCCCAGTCCGTACAGTTGCAAAATTTGTAAGAAAGGGCATCACACCTTGCTCCACCAGCCTTCTCCCAACGAAGTTGCTCCAACGTCCGCACCACAACCAATTCCCTTACAAGTCTCCAATACTGCAGTCAAGCCTTCTAAGAAATCACGAAAGCGTAGATCTTCAAAACGTCCGTCCGTTAACTCTTCAAAACCTCCTGCTCCTGGTCCCTCTTTCACTCCCCGACACTGTCCTTCCGTTGTCCGCAGGCCCATAGCTGCCATCCAGTCCGTAGCCACGCTCGGGCCAACAGTGGTGGTGCAGCTGATGTACAATGGTCATCGGATACCTGTCAGAGCTCTCATAGACCCGTGCGCAGGACATAGTTTAATCTGTCGGTCATTGGCTGATAGTATTAAACTGTGTCCTGTCTTCGTTCTGCCAGTTCTCCGTTGCATCATCATACGACATCACTCAGCGGATTTCAATTTCGGCGCGAGTGATTAATCTTGGGAACCTTGTCGCTCCTACGGAGTCTGTGTCCGCCGGTCTGAAAGAACACTATGCTGGCCTGCAGTTAGCCGATCCTCGGTTCCATGAAGCAGCAGCGGTTAGTGTCATTCTGGGCCCTGAAGTCTACAATAAAATCATGAAGCCGCAAACTTATTCAAGCCCTGGTTTTCCATGGGCCCAGCTCACCATATTCGGATGGGTTATATCGGGCCCATGTAACGTATAATGTGAGGGGCAATCTTCAATTGCCTCTGGCTCGTCGAGCCCCTGTCACAAGACTTTTCGAGTCACTTGCATATCCAATAAAAAGTTAATGGATCTGGTCTCCTCGAGCCACAATATGATCCTGCTTCTCGAGCAAATAACTTTTTCTATTTATAAATAAAATGTTTATGAAGGCCCACAGGCTTTTTTCATCCCTGCGTTACATGTTGCACACAATTCTAATCCTTGTGTTTTATTTATCTATTTTCTTTCATTTTGCAACGCAAACACAATCAGCAAAAAACATTTTACATCTTTCAGAGAAGTAAAGACAAAACCAAGCAGAAATTCGTTTTGAAGTAAAGGACTCCAAATATTCTTTAGGGACTTGAGAAGTTAGAAATAAACCAAACTTTAATGTAATTAAGATATAAATTTATGCTGACCGTGAGAAAAACGATCCAGGCCGGACAAACCTACAGTCATAAAACACCAATTGAGCGAATTGAGAAAAAATTTGCGAAACGATAAACTGGAATCTTAATACTTTGTAATATTATTTTCACTATCTTGGTAAACGAGTTTTTTGTTAAAATTTCTGGGAAATTTCTATAATTGTGTGAAAATTACAAAAAAGAAGATTGTACTATTATTAATGAGCAGTCAGGAGGAGCAAAAGCAATTTTCGTACGTTCACAAAAAAACGTTTTTGAAAACATAATACTACAACCGTAGGGGAGCTCTAAATTATGTCGATTGTAGTATAGATAAAGCCCACATGTTTAACAAGAAGTGTAGGCTTTAGGCCGGAAGAAATATTAATACTCTCCACCATGAGGAAAAGACAACCGGGATTGAATATACGACCCACTTCCATTTAACCAGTGAAATCTAAAATGAAAGTCTAAAATCGTGGAAATTTTAAATACTCGGTGGCACTGCCTTATATGTGATAAAAGAAATAATGAGCATACATCTGCAGTCATCTGACACAAAAGACAGAACCAACTAAAAGCTTTAGATACGGAATTTTAAACTATTCCCTTGAAAAATTAGGCTAAACTCGTCAGAATACCGCATATCGCGAGGTACCAACATATAGGGCTATAAGAAAAATGAGGTAGAACCGAAGCTTAAGCACGTATGCAACAATAATCTTAAACATAGGGATATACAGTTATATGAGTATTATACGAAAATATGGACCAACATGTCCCATTTATGAATTTATTCCATATACTTCCACATTAATTAGTTCGAAAAATTACAAGAGACATTCAGACAGTTCGGAAGACGGATATCGATGAAAGACTTAGAATTCTATGGGTAAAAACGTTTGGAATTGTTTGCTATCTGTTTTTAGGACATTTCTATAGAGTATGGTTTTATCCCTTGATTGCGACATCGTATCAGTAAATGTTAACGAACATTTTATTTCTTCCGGTTTTACCTTTGTGTTTGATGGCACCTCTGTTCTTACCATATTTATAAATCATTTCACTATTTATTTCCGGCGTGATCTCTGTGGTGAATATTATTATAGTTTGTATTTTTTATTCGACCTTAACCAATCTAATTGGTTGGTCTGTCTTTCCTTTTTTACAGCAAATAATAAAAGAAACAGAAAAAATGCAGAAAATTAATTTTGCTTACATGTAAAACATCTAAAAAGTTTTAAATAACGCGCTGCATCTTACGTGTCTCTGTAGAAAATATTATTCAAGTTTGTATTTTTATTCGTCCTTGACCAATCCAATTTAAATAAATAAGATTTTCTTTGCGCTTAAGGTCTGGGGTTCCTTTATTAATTTCTGATATTTACAATGGATTACATAGCCTCTTCAGGAATATAGTAAATTAAGTGTTTATTTTTATAATTGATGTCACCACAGCGAACAATAAAAGAGAACAGAAAAAAAAAACCCAAAAAAACAATTGAGCTTACATGTAAAATATCTACAAAAAGTCAAGTTTTACATAACGCACTATAGCCCTTCACTATCAACGCCTGCATCATATGTGTCGCTCTTATAACTTATTTACTTTATTGTTGATAAGTTATTAATATGTAACATTTCCTATGTCAATTTCTAATTATAGTGATTCTGTGTTTGGAGTATTTTAATGTTTTCAAAGTTTGGTATGTGGTTATTTCTACTGCGGTACTCAGCAATATATGTTTTTTTATCACATTTTCGTTTCCTGTTTGATATCTGATTAGTGAGCAGACATTCGCGTTTTTTAGTCTACTTTCTTGTTGTACCAAAGTACATTTTCGACATTTTACATTGTTGGTACCCTAATAACCCGGTATTTTTCATCGTTGTTTATCTTTTGAAGAGTTTCTCATTTTCAATTTAGTAATCTGAAGCGTTCAAGGATTTTACAGATTTGAAATGCTTCAAATTAGCTAAAAAGTCTTCTTCTTTACATGTTATTGGTAACCAATAATCAGCAGGGGCCTGTAGTTTTAATGAAGCAAATGTTCTTTGTTTTGAAAATATAATATTGCGGTACTCTCCAATGAATTCTATTAAATTTGCTAGTTGAACGGATTCTTCAATTAATTTATTTGTAAATGTATTGTTATTGTAACCTGGGTACTGCAACTTTGTCGTTGATGATATTTGTTGCAAGTAATCCTTGAATTGTGGATTATAATTAAAATCCCATGAAAACCCAGGGGGGATTGACAAATTTGTGAAGTGTGTTCTGAACTTAATGTGAGCACTGTGGGAATCTTTCTTTAAATTTGTTGTAAGGTACGATTTATTTCCAAACTTATCTTTAGATGAAGAAGTTTTATCAGCGGAATATATTTTAGAACTTCTAATAGGCGTCAAGGTGCGCAACATTTGTTGTTCCGTCCAAGCACAAAATTGAAGAAGGTAGTAGTCAGTAGGAATCCGTCCAACACAGCACTCCAGAAATGCGTCACCAGGTAGGCGAGGAAGCAAAGTTTGTGTTGCAGCTGCAGATGTTTTTACCAAATCAGTCATCTGTGAAACAGAGTATGTCAATATGTCTGAAATATACATTAAAAATTAAAAGAAGAACTTCAGTGTGTTTTGAATCTTACATTCCGTGGAACAATCTCGTCGTTTAACATACGATCCATCAGTTAAAATTGATACTTCTTTTAACAGGACAAGATCTGCCTGGGCTCCCAAGTTCACCTCTTTCAACAACTTAGAGGGTAGGATATCCGTTTGCACTCCAACTGAAACTTTAGTTGTTCGCAATCGCCTAGTAAGTATATATATATATATATATATATATATATATATATATATATATATATATATATATATATATATATATATAAAAGTTTTGTGTTTATTTTATTAAATCTTAGTAATAAAAAAAGACAAAAAAAATTATTTTGGTTACCTTAAATTGTCTTTATGGACCACCCTCCCTTTTATTAGGACTGTGGTCCCCAAGTCAGCTTCGACAGTTTCCTCTGTGTACAAATTTGACATTTTATTTCCTAATCTTCGATTTGATTTAACCAGAACTTTTTCTCCTACTTCGAAAATTCTATTTTGTCTTGTCTTATTTAACCTTTACAACTGGGCATTCTGAGCATTTGGGATTTTAGCGCTAATGCCTGTGTTGTGTTCTGGCGTCAAAGGATGAATTACGTCAATATGTCGTTTGTTTGTAACGTAGTGAATACTTCTGTTGTATTCTATGGCGGCAAGATATATTAATTCAACTGTGTCGTCAATATTTCTATCCATCTTTAAACACCGTGCTATTTCTACTAGGGTGCTTTGAAACCTCTCTACCTGTCCATTTGAGCAACTATGAAGAAGTGGAGCGTTAATAATTTCTACGGCAAATCGGTATTTTAAAAGTGATTTTATAGTCTCCGAATTAATAGAGGGCTCATTATCACAATATGTTGTCCTCGTTTCTTTGAACAAATTCATAAGTTGTAAAAATGCAGTTTTTACATCTATTATTGTTCGGGAAGCAATTGTTTGAACGACAGATAACTTAGAAAATTTGTCCACACATGTGAGAAAATACTTTTTGTCCGTTGAAAAAATGTCAATATGCAAAATTTCCCCTATGTACGAAGGAATAGGAGTTTCCCCTAAAACTTGTTATTGGGGGTGTCGGTCATATTTTGCTCTTTGACAGATTTTGCAATTGGAGATGACTTCGTTTGCTATACTAGTCATTTTGGAGAAAAAATAATCTTGCAAAATTTGTTTTACATTTTCTTGTGTGTCTCTATGAGCTCTGTTATGCTCCAAGACAGTAATTTCTTTCTGTTAATTTTTGTCTAAAATGTCCGTCACAATCCGGTCCGTGTAACGGAATGTAGTTGAGGCAAATGTCTCCCCCAATTTGTTTTGAATGAATGCCAATATTGGCAATTCGCACAAAATTGCGTTGACTACATCGCTTTTGACTACGTCGCATATTCTCTGAATCTATTTCTCTCTGTCTGAAAAATACAAAAGATGTCGCGTTTTTTCCGAACATAATAATAATCCTTCTAACTGAGTCACTTCCACTTTCCTCTATTATTATTTGATTCCGAAAGCAGTTCACTAACTTGTCAGTTCTTTTGATAGTGTAGGTAAGTGATAACTCACTATGTACCGTGGCAATATCCGATTGTGTGTTATCATTCAAAGCGTGAATGTGCTGTCGAGACAGCGCATCGGCAACATAATTCTCTTTCCCAAGCTTATAAAAGACTTTAGCATTATGTTCGTCAAGGAATGCTTTCCAGAGTTTTATTTTGGCGTTCGGATTTCGATCCGAGACTGCCAAGGTCAAAGGTAGGTGGTCTGTGAAAATGTTTAAATTTTTCACGCCATAAAGGTAGTTCTTGAGATTCTTCAAAGCTAGAAGTTCTATCTCGTTTGTTGCAATTTTTTTCCCTGTCTTTTAAAGTTCTTGAAATCATGGTTATTGGCTTCCGTCTTGTGACAAGACGGCTCTCAAACCAACAGACGACGCGTCTGTTGTTAAATCAAAAGGTTTACTGTAATCTGGGTATTGCAATAATACATTCTCAGAAGCCAGTATCTCCTTTAGCTTTTCAAAGGCTTGTCGCTGTTTTTCGTTAAATTTGACAGGTATTTTCTTAGAACGCCCAGCGCTTACCTTGCCATTATCGCTCTTCAAAATGTCACTTATAGGCTTTGCTATTGAGGCAAAGTCTTTAATGAAACATCTATAATAGCTTGCTAATCCAAGGATCGATCTGGTTGTCGGCATTTCGTAGTTACGCATAGCGTTTACCTTATCAGGGCATGTCTTTACGCCTCTTCGCGAGACTACGAAGCCTAAATATTCTAGGCTGTCCTTGAAAAATTCTGATTTTTCATGCGAAATTCTCATATTAGCTTCGCACAATTTATCCAAGACCCAAGCTACGTGCTTTAATTGTTCATGCATATTTTCGGAGAAGATAATTACGTCATCGGCGTAAACATAACATGATTTTCCTATTTGTTCTCTGAGCACATCGTCGATGGCTCTTTGGAAGATACTGGGAGCATTCTTCAACCCAAAGGGAAGTCTGCAAAATTCCCTATCTTTCTCAGCAAGTAATATCTGCTGAAAGACAGATTTTAGATCTAAGGTAGTCCAAAACTGTGCTTTACCTAAATTTGCCAAAATGAAAACCACGTTTGGTATATTGGATATTTGTCATCTATAGTATTTTCATTTAGTTTCCTAAAGTCAATTACTAGACGTTTGTTTGTATTTCCTTGGTCATCAGTCCCTTTTTTTATCCACAACCCATACAGGGTTATTATAGGGCGACCGAGATTGTCGTATTATACCGTCTCTTAACATAGCCTGTGTTTTAGAATTAACAAAGTCTGATACTCCCATTGGGTAGGGATATAATTTTGAATAAATGGGTTCTTCGTTCACTGTACGAATAGTTGCAACGATGTTGGTGTTGTATGACAGAGCTTTGTCCGATACTGCGAATACACCCATTCGTTTTTCTAAAATTTTTTGAAATTTTTCTTTTATATCCTGGGGTAGTACAGTGTCGGTGACGCATGTAAAATTTACATCCGGGCATGTAAAAAAATTTTTAGTTTCAAAACCACTCACATTTGCTAGTTTTTGGTTTTTTAAATCAAGTACAGTATCTGTCCGCTTAAGAAGATCTGGACCAAGTATACCATCAAATGTTGTCAGGTTTGGTAATAAAAAGAAGTTAGTATCGGTACCGAAAATATTTAAAATGCACATTCTGTCCACTGTAGTATGACCATGAATTGACTTTACGTGGAATGGTTTATTCACAGGCACAATATTGTTCAATTCATTAAATGGTTTTATATAATTTTTGGACGCTCCCGTGTCTATCAAAAACTTTATATTTCTCCCTGCAATTTCCCTGTCTATGAACGGTAACAGGGAGTTATTCCTAAAAAATTGAGTTCGTCGAATTCTAAAAGCTCGTCATCTACTTCTTCGACTTGCTTTTCAGCAAACGCTTTATATTCGAATTCCTCTTGGTCAGGCACGGTGTTGTCTGAGACTAATTGGTTAATTATTTATAGTTTTGGTCCGGTGTACCTAGCACTGCCATTGCTTGGTCTTTTACCCACTTATCCCTGATTGGCTAACTCATTATTTTGTGTGTTCTGCCTTTGAACATGCACCTGACTATTTTGCGGTTGTCCACAGCGGAAAAAAGAACATCGCTTAAAGACTTATTTGTCCCTGAAATGAATCTGCTCTGTATTTTTCGTTCAGGGACGCGGCGACTTTGCTGTCATACGTCATTACAGTTTTATTGATGAGCAGAGTCGGTTTTTTATCAACCTCATTATAGTACTGCAGAAGAGTCATATTTCCCTGTCGTAAAGTTTACATTTCCTGTTTTATAGGGTAAACGGGTCTTTTATCTGCGTATGTAAAATCTAATCTATTTATTGAAACCGGTAATTTTGTTCCTCAATATACCTAAAGTTTGGTAATGTTTAGAACTCCCTTCGTATCTCTCATAAACCGTGTCGCTTTTCTCCACGAGACGTAAGTCTCATTTTTGCCATAGAATTCTGGCAGGGACTTTATAATGTCCAAAGTTTCACTACACGAGACGCTCAATCTTATTTCAGCATCTTTGTACGTTTCTACTTCAGGCGTAGTTATCTGAACATTCCTCAATTCTTGCTTAACCTCTTCAGGTTTCCTACTGAAATTTAGCTCTTGTACAGCGAGTGCCATTTTAGTCTCTAGAGTCAGTGCCATTTTAGTCTCTAGTTGGTGTTGCAAACAACCGTCACTTTGAAGTCTTTGGAATTTATTTAATAAATCTTCTAAATCTCTATCACTCATATAATATTTTCGCACAAAAGAAAATCGAAATATTGGATAAAAACAAGAACAAAGGCCTTAAGTTTAACAAACACTTATTATACCCTACACCACAAGGTGGTCAGGGTATTATGTCTTTGTGCATTTGTTTGTAACAGGCAAAAGGAAACGAGATAGACCCATAGTTCCTTTTGATGATCTGCAAAGAATCACATTCTGAGTCGATTTATGCATGTCCGTCCGTCCGTCTGTCCGTCCGTCCGTCTGTCCATGTATTTTTGTAAACAAAGTACAGGTCGCATTTATTGCCCGATCAAGATGAAATTTTGCATAGATCATTTGTTTGGTCCAAGGACGAACCCTATTGAAATTGGAGATAATCGATCAAAATTTAGATATAGCTCCCATATATATCTTCGTCCGATTTGCCTTTTATTTTGCACCAAACCTGTAATATCAGCCCGAATTGTATGGAATTTTGCATATGCACCCAAATTAGGCCTGAAAATATATATGCCAAATTTGATCGAAATCGGTTCAGATAAAGCTATAGCTCCCATATATATTGTTCATCCGATTTGTTATTTTTGTCCACCGCCGCCGTAATATGCACTCTACAACAACAATATTTTAGGGAAATACATGAAATATAGCTCAGAAATACACTTTCTAAATTTTATCGAGATCGGTTAAGATTTGGATATAGCTTCCATATATAACTTCGTCCGATTTACCTTTTATTGTGCACCAAACGTCTAATATTTGTCCAAATGGGATGGAATTTGGCACTTACGACCGAATTGAGTCTAGAAGGTAGTATGTCAAATTTGGTGAAGATCGGTTCAGATTTAGCTATAGCTTCCATATATATTATTCATCCGATTTGTTATATTTGTTACCCACAACCGTAGTATGCACTCCGTAACAACGATATT